CACCCCCGCCTTGGCAGAGGCTGTTTGGCTGGAAGTTGAAACTGTTCCACCTGCTAGCTCTACTTTCTGAGGCCGTGTTTGGCTTTGGTCAGCAATAAACACCAGATCAGTGTAGAATCCTATCTCCTATAGAAAGAGAAATCCAAGGACTTCAAAGACCATGTGATCAAGTACCTGGAGACACTCCTGTATTCACAGCAGCAGGTATGTGAGTGTGCATGACCTTTGTCCTCTGCTGCCTGCTCCAGAGGCCAGCTGCCTGCTTGGGACTGTGGTGATAGGGTGGGCTGGTTCTGCATCTGAGGGGCAAGGCCCTGCTATTGTCAGTAATTGAAGGTAGGCCCCGTTGCTCTAAGATGGAGCATCCATGAGGGTCTTTTGCTAAGCAGGAAGACCCAGCTCTGCTGCCCTAATCCTACGATGAGTTAGTTTTTGAGGGCAAACCTTGTCTCTCTCCTCTCTGTAACCCCTCATTCTTTGAGTGGCCACCCCATGGTACCAGCTAACCTTCTTGAGATCTAGGCTTCAATCAGTGTGTGAACAGTTGCCCCCACTGTGAGGAGCTAACTGAGCTGGGCAGAGCTGTGGCCTCCGCAGGGGTACTTCTGGGGCAGAACCAAGACCGTCTTCAGAAATTGTCCTTGCACTTGGTGCTCAGGAAGTGATGCTTCCCTTCAGCCTGGGAGGGGGTGAGGGCAGTGTAGCTGGCTGACCAGTCTGCCCCAGGGCCCACTCTCAGGCCAGTGATTTCTCAGCTCTGCCTCAGCTTCCTTTGGGTGGCTGAGGCGCTTGAGGAGCACCAGGGCTCCAGCTCTGTCCCGAGATGGAGGCGCCTGCTTACTGTCCCCGCTTCCTTGCAGCTGGCAAAGTACTGGGAAGCCTTCCTTCCTGAGGCAAAGGCCATCTCTTAATGGACCACGGACACCAGAGCCCACCTGCCTGACGCTGCCTTTTTATACTCTGTCCTTGTCCACTTCTGAAGGACCCAGTGATGCATCCTGCCTAGCCCGGCCTTAGCCCTTCCTCTCTGCTCCTACAACCAGGCTATCCCCAGTCACTCTAACTGTATTTTATGTAGCTTCCATATATATTTTCTTACCTAAGAGAATAGTTTCCTGCTTTAAGCAAAGACCTACAATAGGTGGTGGAATTATGGGATAGGAGTGGGGAATTGATATAAATATATAAATACAAATGTATATTTTTCAGGGTGTGGTTTAGGAACTGGGAATAACGTTTTCTGTTACTCCTGATGGTGCCATGAAAAGATTATGTAATAAAATATTTTCAAATCAGGTCACATGACTCAGAATGGTGGTGCTTTTTGCTTCCGGCTGGGGAGCAGTTAGGAAGCAAGTCTGGAATAGTCCTAGCCAAGAAGTTCCCAGGTATAGTAAGTTTCTCTCCACAGGCGTTGACAAGTTTGTGCTGCTGCTTCCCTACGGAACTGGGGTTTCTTTTCTCTGCCTGCCTCAGCTGCCTGTTCTGAGGGTCTCTTACTCTTTTTAATTCTTATTCCTACTCCTTTAGGGAAGGAGTCGTAAAGATGTCTCTTATAACAAGAAGGACAAAACCTATTCTGCAAGGGAGGCAGACCTGTTTTTATCCCTACCCCGACTTCCGATGCAGCCTGGGGCTGAGTCTTGCCTCTGATAGCAAAGTCTTGTGTTCTGGACCTCTTTTGCCACCCATCGAACATGTCCTCAGTAGACTTGTTCATGTTAAGGTGTAAAGGACTGATAAGGACTTATGTGTTATCCCCGTAGACACAACAGCTGGGCACTCTGCCTCCAGATAAGGTAATCCAGGGTCCCCTAAACCTTCTACACTTCTAAGAAGCATTACTGTTGGTGCCCAAAAGACAGCATGCTAGCCAGAGCTCCTGCTGAGGGCACCAGAGCTGTGTCTGAGCTGATCTGGCGAGGAGAAGCCCACGTCTCAGATCAGCCACTGCTCGGCTCCCCCCTCAGCTGTGTTCCACAACTGCTTGAGCTGCATTGGTGGGAGTGGACTTTGAGCCTCTTCAGTGGGTCGGACCTGGTGACTGCCTTCCGGGGGAATCTTGTCACTCCAGCCCCACCACCAGGCTCAGCAGCAACAAAACCCACCACTGCGGAGATGCCTCTGCCCGAGCGGGCTCCAGGACCTGTTCTATCAGTTCTCGTTGGTGGGTGGTTAAGGTTTGGGGAGGGGCAGCCCAAGGCCGGTGAATGCAGGAAACAGTCCTTATATCCAGATCACTGTCCTGACACCAGGGATGAGCCAATGCTGCCAAGTATTTTTTTTAACAGGTTGAGTTATTTGGAAAAAGCCACTCAGTCTCTTCCATGCCTCCCCAATATCTTATTATCGTCTTTGATTTTATCCTTCCAATCTCTTTTATATGCTTGTTTTTACATAGTTGTGATGATATACACAAAATATTTTGTACCCTGCTTTGATCATTCAACATTGTATATATTATAAGCGTTTTTCTATAGTGTTATCTCTCTTCACAAACCTTACTTGTAAGGCTATATAATATAAGGCTTCCTTAGAGTGACTGTACCATAATTCTGACTCATCCCTTGTTGTTGGATTCTTGATATTTTTGTAATTCTATAAATTTTTGTAATTTTAATAATTTCAAACTTATAGAAAAGTTGCAGGAATATCACAAAGAACGCCCATATATTCTTTACCTAGATTTACCAAGTGTTGGTATTTTACTGTTTGTTTTCTCTTTATTTGCATATTGTATTTTCTGAATCATTTGAAAGTAACATGCAGACATTGTGCCCCTTTATCTCAGAAACCTCAAAATGCATTTCTTTAAAGACAAGGACATTCTCTTATACCTTATCACCATAAGTACAGTTATATATCTTCACAGAATCTGCCTCCAGATAGGATAATCCAGGAGCTGCTAAACCTTTTGCAGTTCAGTGAAGCTTTACTGTCTGTTCCCAAAAAGGAGCATGCTAGCAAAGTCAGGAAATGTAGCATTGCCCTGGTGGCATAGTGGTTAGCTATGGCTGCTAACCAAAACGTCAGCAGTTTGAATCTACCAGGTGCTCCATGGAAACTCTGTGGGGCAGTTCTACTCTCTTAGAGGGTCGCTATGAGTTGGAATCGACTCGATGACAATGGGTTTGGTTTTGGTTTTTATAATACTGTTATCTAATCCTTGGTCCATATTTAAATTTTGTCGGTTGTCCCAATAAAGTCCTTTATAGTTATTTATTTTTCTTGGTACAAGATCACGTTTTACATTTAGTTGTCTCTTTAGTCATCTTTAATCTGGAAGAGTTCTTCAACCTTGCTTTGTCTTCCATCACCTTGACATTTTTGAAGAACACAGGCCAGTTATTTTGTAGAATGTTCTTCAGTTTGGGTTTGCCTGATTGTTTTCACATGATTCGATTAGGATTTTGCGTTGTTGGCAGGAATATCACAGAAGTGATGTGTCCTGGGTACATCTTAATTCGGTAAAGGATGTCAGTCAGTTGATCCCATTAATGGTGATGTTAACTCTGATCTCTCGGTTAAGTTGATGTCTGCCAGATTTCACCACTGTAAATTTACTATTTTCCCCTACAAATAATTTGTGGGGAGATACTTTGAGATCCTTTAAATATCTGTTCCTCAACAGATTTTCATCCACTAGTTGTAGCATCAATTGATGATTCTTGCCTGAATCAGTTACTACTATTGGTGATTGACCAATACGATTTTCTAACTCCATAATTCCTTCTGCATGTACTGGTTGGCAGTCAGCTTCTAAAGAAAAGTGTTCCTTCTCCCCATTTTTTAATCCACTTGTTTATCAGAGTGGATGCATAGATTTGTATTTTACTCAAAGTTACAATCCATTGCTTTGATTTATTTTGATTCTCAAACTGTCCTAGACTTCTACTGTGTCTTTTTAACATGTCTCCATCATTTTTTTTTAAAAACATTTTGTTGTGCTGTAGGTGAAAGTTTACAGAGCATATTAGTTTCCCATTCAAAAAATTTATACACAAATTGTTTCGTGACATTGGTTGTAATCCCTGTGATGTGTCAGCAGTCCCCCCACTCCGGCTTCCCCATTTCCCTTCATCTGGTTTTTCTGTCTCTCAGTGGCTTCCTTTGCCTTAGTCAGGTTGTGCTGATTTCCCCCATATTGTGTGTTGTCTTTCCGTTCAACAAAGTTAACACATGTCTACTATCTAGTTAGTGGTTTCCCCTCCCCGCCCCTCCTGTCCCCTCCCAGGTAACCCTCAAAGATTGTTTCTTTCTACATATAATCCTTTTCTTGAGTTTTTATGATAGTGGTATCATACAATATTTGTCCTTTTGTGATTGACTTATTTCACTCAGCATAATGCCCTCTAGGTTCATCCATGTTGTGAGATGTTTCACCGATTCATCATTGTTCTTTATCGTTGCATAGTATTCCATCATGTGTATATACCATAGTTTGTTTATCCATTCATCGTTGATGAGAACTTAGGTTGTTTTTCATCCATCTTTTCGCTATTGTGAATAATGCTGCAGTGAACATGGGTGTGCATGTGTCTGTTCATGTGACAGGTCTTATTTCTCTAGGATATATTCCTAGGAGTGGGACTGCTGGGTCATATGGTATTTCTGTTTCTAGCTTTTTAAGGGAAGCACCATATCATTTTCCTTAGTGGTTGTACCATTTTACATTCACACCAGCAGTGTATGAGAGTTCCAGTCTCCCCACAACCTCACCAGCATTTATTGTCTTTTGTTTGTTCAATCGGTGCCATTCTTGCAGGACTGAGATGGTATCTCATCGTGATTCTGATTTGCATGTCTCTAATGGCTAATGATCGCAAGCATCTTTTCATGTATTTGTTGGCCGCCTGAATGTCTTCTTTGCTGAAGTGTCTGTTCATGTTCTTTGCCCATTTTGTGATTGGGTTGCTTGTCTTTTTATTGTTGAGTTGTTGAAATTTTCTATATATTTTAGAGATTAGACCTTTATCAGATATGTCATTGCCAAAGATTTTTTCCCAGTCTATAGGTTCTCTTTTTACTCCTTGAGAAAGTCCTTTGATGAGCATCAGTATTTAATTTTTAGGAGGTCCAAGTCATCTGGTTTATCTTCTGGAATTTGTACATCTTTAATTATGCTTGATATTCTATTTACGCCATAGTTTAGGGACCCTAGCGTTGTCCCTATATTTTCTTTCATGATCTTTGTAGTTTTAGGT